AAGGAAAAAAAAAAAAAAAAAAAAAAAGTACGCTATGCATAAAATCGATAAGAAAAACATAAAGGTAAGTGTTTGCGCTCGCGATGTCTTTTTTTTTCCTTTTTTTTTTTTAAATTGATAAATCAAAAGAAAGAAACAAAAAAATTGGAATGAAAAGCCAGGAGGCCTCGAGGGGCCCCCAAGATGCCTTCTTCTTGTGTCGCGACTTGACCGGAAGCCAAGACGTAAGGGTACGATGAAAAGTGGAAAAAAAAAAAATGAAAAAATAAACCCCCCTGACAAAAACAGAAAAAAAAGACAGTCTCTATTTGTTATTGATAAAAAACAAATATCACGTGCCTCAAATGCATGGCGTTCGACCGAACATTTTTTATAATCACAGGATCGATCGATTTTCGAAAATTGCTTATCGCCCATCGATATTATCGTACAGTTCGATTATCGATTTTTAAACGTATTTATTTATCGGGACAGAGCACGCTCGCTTTCTACGCGTAAAAACAGAAATTCAGACTTTCCTCTTCTTTGCCTTCTTCTTTACATTCACGATCGTCCTCAGCTTCCCAGTCTCGTGTTTCGGTGTGAAAATAGTCGTTCTCGCGGACGCGTGTATGGCTCAGTAAGATTAATTCAGTTTCAAGCTACAATGGATTTCTTAATCAAGAGTTTACCCCGCACGAGTACACAATAACGTTATGAACGTTGAACGTTATGTACGTTCGTTCTATACAAGAAAACGCGTAAGACTCCTGCTCAAAACTAGGAGAAAGAAAAACGAAAAAGAAAAGAGAAAAACCAGTCACGATCTTTCAAAATTAAACGTTACGTCCTCAGCCTCCATTGTCAATAGAGAAACCGTGTTGGATACCAATAAAGGCGAATTTCCATATACGCGTTGTCAAAAGAGAAAAATAGGCGAATAACAAAAATGACAAATCGAAGGTCGCTACTGCTTTTTAGAAAATCATCAATTACCATTAGCCACCGATAACAAGAGCGTCAAAGAAGAGGCAGTGGTGAAAGGCGTTATCTTTTTTTTTGCAAAAAAAAATAAATAACCATCCATTACTCTATTCGTTTAATTGTCTCTTTCTTTTATTTCAAATATTTCTCCTCAACTCGTTAGTATCCAGCACCCTTTCCTATACAGTACAAATAAGCTTTTTCACACAGTTGTTAAACGTCGTATTGGCGCGCGATTGTCAAAAACGAATGAAAAAAAAGAAAAAAAAAAAAAAGATTTTTTCTTTAAACAATATTTCAACCTAAGGTTTCGGGTATTGCGTATTGGCCCTTATAACTTCGAGTTTTGGAATAACGCAATCGTTATTTTTTTTCAGGCTGCTATTGTCGTTGCGTGGTATCGTTCGGCTTTGCGGCTCGCGCTCATTTCGGCTCGAGGGAAACAAGGCGAGACTTCGTCATTCACTTAGAAAACCTGCCAACGTACGTGTATGATTACATGTCAATTTTTAAACAGTCCTAGACCACGCCTTCCTTCGCGCCGTCTACAGGCAAATTATCAGCATCGACGCCAAGGTCCGTGGCGAGCCCCTCGAGTTAAATCACTTTTATTATTATTTTCACTGTATCCATATTTCTTTTTTTTTTTATCGTTCCAATAATCGCGTCATCGCTGTAGAAACTGTCGATTTTTTTTTTCAATCGGGATTCGCGAGGGATACAGTCAAATCCAAGAATAACAATGATTATCTCGATAGGCGACGACTATGCTAGCACGTGACAACAGAGACGCAAGGGCGTATCGCACGTTGACACCTGTCAGTGCGACTGTCGTCTGTCACCGTCCCACGTGGTCATCGAGCGCTCCGAGTATTCCAAAGGAATGACAGATAAGGTTTACATGACGGAACAGCGAAACGAGTTACATTGATATTAATCGAGGAGGCATTGCTTTCGCATGTCGGTATGGGAACCAAACGATTCGTTAGATCGTACGATAATACATTCCTTGTCTTTTTTTTTTTTGCTTATTGCGCCTGCCGAGGGTCGACCGTGATCGCGTGGATCGATAAAATTAGAAAAAAAAAATTAACGATCAATCTCACATTACATTATCGATCCATTGACGATTGGTTAGCGCGTCTCATTACGCGGACGTCCTTAAACTCCCTTAGACGCAACCAGGGCGACGGCAGCGCTCAAGCGCCTGCGAAGTGTCAGTTTGTCGAACTATTCATGCTATAGACGTTTGCGTTCCAGCGCTGTCGGGACACTTTGAACGCGACAGTTGACTATTCGCGTCTCGTTCGGATGCTGAACGCGTTTAAGAATCGACACAGAGTTATGCAAGAGCGCAATGCTTGAAGCGAGCGAGAAGCGCCACCTGACCCAAATGTATTATTTAAAACTGGATAAACGAGAATTAAAAAAAAAAATTTCTTCTCATACAATTTCGATATAGACACGAGCAGCGCTTCAAGGTGCTGATTGATGGTTGGCAGGCTTGAATTGGGAAAGGCACAGATTTCAGTGCTAGATCTAAAAGTGCGTGTAAGGCCGACTTCCTGGATATATTTCATAAATATCAGGAAGACATGAATTCCTAGTTTCTTTTCTTTTTTCTTCACTTTCTTCCCCCCCCCCCCCACCGCTCTCTCTCTCTTAATAATTACAATGGTGGTATTTCAAGTTAGACGCAGACATAATACCGTGTATATATATTTTATATATATATATATATATTGTCTACGAGATAAATGTTGCGAGACCCATATAATATATATATATATATATATATATATATAAAAAATAATAAAAAAGTTTTCTATCCTTTCGATTCTTGCGCACCACAGAATAACGGAGCCGGAATTCATCGTAATCTTGTCACACACGCCATTAACACACGTATAATCCAGTTTTGAGCGTCGGCCGTAAGCGTGCGGGGATCACGGACGTATTTTTCTTCCAGTTTTTCTTGTTTCGGACAGAGTTTGTATAACTTTCGTCCCTTTTTCACCCTTTTCTCTTCCTCTCCGTCTATCTCTGTTATATTTATATACGTATATACGCATATGTATATATAGACACACAACAAACCATATATATATATATATATATATATATATATATATTGGCGCACGTGTGTTTTGTGTCTGTGCAGCAGCAACGTCATGCTGTATACTCGGTGCGCCGTCGCATTGTTCGACGCATCGCATAGTCGCCTAGTCTCACATCTCTATGGCCTTTCATCTTGAAACTCGAGACGAAGCCAAGCTATTTGGTTCAAGTCCTGCAGCATAGAATATAATACCGATATATGTAGAAGTGGTACAACAACGTTAATCCAAGATAAAAAAAAAAAGAAAGAAAGAAAACAAAACAGTCTCCAAAATTTTACTGATGCACCAATGGCTATGACTCTCGATACACAGTGTTGCCAAAATTTCCACTGTCGCGATCAAGGAAAAGGAAAAAAAAAAAAATAATTAAAATTCGAATCGTAACGATTTTCAAAATTTGTCTTTTTTTTTAAGTCCTCAAGATTTTGCCAAATTTGCGTCTCGTTTTTTTTTTTTTTAATTTTCTAGATATATATATATACATCTTTCCCACTCTTCCGCTCCCTCCTCTTCCGTTTTACAACCGACTGCATTTTTGAGCTGCACTTGTTGCGTGTCCGACGATGAGTACAGTGACCATATCATGAAAGACAAAAGTATTTTCTTTGCTTGTTTTTTCTTTTCTTTTTTTCTTTGCTTTTGCTTTTGCACTTTTTGTTCAGTTTTTTTTTGCTCGTGTTTCTTTTTTTTTTTGCTCTGCTCTCGTTACTCTGATTATCAACGCTCTTTCCTTTTACCACGATGGCTGAGCGCGTTGCGACTCCCGTTATTCTGTGGCATCGCATCCTCGGTCCACGTGTTTTCTGTGTGCGCAGCAATTACGTATGCTATCGCCACATGGTCCATTAAGTATGCAACAATAGCTAGGTCCCATACAAACAACAAATCAAAGATATGCCTCGCTACGATCAATTCAGAAGGGGATGCACAATGAGTATGCGAGGTAGCCTGAGCTTTGCCAAGCAGTAATTTACTGTCTTATGCAACAAAATTTATGAATAAAATAATGATATATATATATATATATACTTTATATATATGCCATGGAGATGTATGCGCTACTACAGTGAACTGATCACAATAAATGATGGATCGAGCGATCGATAGTGAACAATATACAGAGGCGATGACGTACGATTTTTTTTGCGACGACTGCTAATTTTTCAAAAAAAAAAAAAAAAAAGAAGAAAATCTTTGACTTCTTTCTTAAAATTTTAAACACGATGCTTTTACCGCGTAAGAATTTATTAACGAAAGGGATGAAGGTATATGTATATATGTATAGGCTGGCAAGCGGATAAAATTTCTGGGACGAACAGAGACGTCTGTCTAGATATACAGAGAAATGGACACGGTGTGTTCGAGGATGGAATAAAAATAATTATGTAATTGAACAAAGTGAAAATTGCAATAGAGAAATTATAAAAGTTCAATTTGTACGTAAGCTACATTGATTTATAGCTTTCACTGATAATGGTCGCTGCTGGCTCATCGAGTTACAACTGATAACACTCTCTCTCTCTCTGTCTCTCTCTCTCTTTTTTTCTTTTTTCTCTCTCTCGTATTCTTCTTAATATAAATTGTACTATTTCTTTTTTTTTTTTTGGTCATCGGTACAAGATTTCCAGAATTACATAGTCATTGTGCATCCTTAAAAAACAGAAACGTCATATCTGGCATGCAAACAACGATAGATACAAAATTCGTCTAAGGGTCAATCAATTGGAAATACTCGTGTGTCGATTAGTCGTGTTATTTGTATGGAAAGAAAAAAAAAGAAAAAAAAAAGAGGAAAAACCCGTCGCGAATTTCGTAATACAAATGCACTGTCGCGCATGCACCATATATGCCCACTGCAAAAGAAATTTGCCCTCCTACGAAATTATTTACGTCTCGCGTGACTCGAAAGAAAGACTGACGTCATCGTAAAGCAGACGAATCGCGACACAGTCGAATCATGACAATTGATTCGTTGCAGTGCACATCGTATATCCTTTAATTGACGAGAATGACGTAATGAAAAATGAAAAAAATAAATAAAATAAATAACCGAGACACTCCAATGACTGCATACTGCAGGCTAATCGATAAAACTATTACGTATCAAGCCCGTTGTTAATTTGGAATAATAATTGATGCCAAGCGGCGCAGTGTGTCTCTTGTCAATCATGCAATTAGAGTATATCGATTGAAACGTACAAAGAAATTCGGGACATTGAACGGCAATCTTTTGCGTTATTATTTGAGACAAACGATCGACCGTGTAATCGAACAAGTATTCAGGTCTTACGGAGTTTCCAGAAAATCGTCATCAATGACTTCTGACAGACTGAGTGAGGTTACTCGCGTCGCGAGGCTTGCGACTTGAGGAGTCGGCCGCCAGATGGCGATGGCATTTACACACAGATGGTAATTTACACAAAGAGCAAACGTACCGATTCAAATAGTATCGTAGCAATAATACTTCATGACAGAATTATTCAAAGGACTTACTACTGTATTGTCTATAGACAATTGATAATAGCGATAAAAAGTCTCACTGTGACAATGGTTACGGTTAAATGTCTTGAAAACTTTTCTTTTTTTTTTTTTCCTTTCAATGTAAATAATTTGACGTTCGAGTGGTGGTACTTCGTTTTTACAGTGGGGATACTTGTTAGCATGCCGTGAAAGTATCAGGCGTAAAATCTGTCGTATTAGATGAAGCGTGTGCCAAGACTTACCGTTTGGAGAACCTGGAGGATAATTTGGAGAAGAAGGACGGCCTTGCCAGTGGGCTTATCGCATTAGTGTCCTGCGTGTGCGTGTGACCCTGCAACTTTTGTAACTACTCAGTTCACTTTACGGGGCAATTGGATAAATTTTAAGAATACAACGAGAGGTTAGATAGGAGGGTTGACCGAGACGGTAATGGTGACGGGGGAGGTCAGTCAAACGAGACGAAGAAGAATTTCGTATATTTTTTCTTTCACACATCTCCCTCTCGTTGTACTCTTAGTTAATCAAGTGAATTGTACCAACCTGAGTATGATTTCGCTGCGCTCTATTTTGCCCAGAGTGAAATGTACTGCGACTGGGTACGTTTCGTGGAAACGCTGGTGTCGTGGGTGTCGCCAGTCTATTGCTTGGAGATACGCCCAAACTAAAGAAACAGACAGGACTATTAGAGATCGATATTATAATTGATAACATATTGCAAAATATTATTAGCTAAAGAGTATCGGTACACTTCGATTTTCATGACCCGTACAAACTATGTATTGCCCTTGTGTACATGGCTTGACGTGTCGATTATACGAACAGTCTCTTTTGGATTATTGTCAAAATTACGTGTTAGAGAAAGTTAGCGGTAAAGGCGTTACGATGTAAAAGAAGCAAATGAGAATAGAAAATATTTTTAAATTACTACGGCTTGAATACAGTGTGCGGCGTAAAAAAAATGTCTATGTACTTTTGGGTGCGCAAGTAAAGTTAACAGCGTGTAATCAATGCTTACTGTGAGAACTAAGTACGAACTTTGATACGTAGCGAAATAAATAAAATTATTACTACGACCGTAAGTCTGTATTATGATAATATACAGTGTATAATAAATTTATATCTATAGCTACCAGACACTAAAACAATAATTATCGAGATCACTTGACGTGCTTTTGACAAAGTTTTATATTCCATTTGTAAATTACTAAAAGCTGCGATTAAGTAGTGTACATTTTGCGTCAAAAGTACAGATGACAATGATAACATACACAAACATAGGTATAAGCGTACATTTCAATTAGACTGTAACTACTCATTATTAATTCTACTGAACGATACCCATATGACATTGTTTTGTTACGACGCACGTACAACAAATTGAACTTGAGGGTTAACGAATAAATAAAATTATATAATCACACAATGAGTGACTGCTCGAATGATCTAAATAAATCTTCATCAGACATAACGAATCGACTAGTAAATATTTCTTGAGCAATAAAGCGTCAGAGGTGACAAAATATTTTTCCAAAGTCTTACAGTCAATTTGTTTGTCGCGAAGCGAAATGTCCGACAAACATTGTCACACGGTAAACCAAAAGTCTTTTCCAAGTGTACATAAAACTTTATCAGCGGCTATCAAGAGCCCTGATTAAATGACAATTATTCGAAGGATACAAACAACATACGAAAGTGGTTAATTTACGAGACTACGGTATGATCTAGGCGAATGATTAAATGTGCCTGTATATGAGGTGAGAATGACCGGAAGCCGTTGGCCGTCGCCAATAAGATAAACTATAATGTAAAGTGAATAACCATGCAAAACCAAATGTCGTACGAACGCAATTACATTGTGAATGACCAACAACTATCCTAGAGATCCTACGCGTTAAAATACATTTGTAAACGGTTTTCTAGCCCTGTGTAACAAGAAGCCTCCTTTGTACCGAATTAATAAATGGCGACAGCTTCAGCAAGAAGCCGTAAGAGCGCGCCACTTCCAACGGAACAACGACGTTCAGATACCCGAAGAGAGTTAGTGGCCCAAAAGAAATAAGCAATTTAAAAAAAGGAAACATAATAAACTATACGAGTCATTCCACGTCAAATAGTCTCATTCGTTAGCCAATGATTTATAAACTTTGTCAACAGTGATCAATAGGTGTCACTATGAACATATGAGAAACTTCACAATTTAAAAAAAAAAAAAAAAACAATCGTCCGTCTTGCAAATATACAATGGATTCGTACAAAGGGTATAAATTGAGTTTAGTAAATCCGTAATCCTTTTGTCAATCGCGAAACTATCTCCAGCATCCCTGAACTCTGGTAAAACGTTTCCACCTGGACGCGAACCCGCGTCTCTTCTCCCCATTCGGTATTTACAGAAAATTAACAATCCGTGAATTAACAATTTTGCGCACGAGTGACAACTAGCCGTGGAATGAATCGCATTGGAATTGAATAGTATGATACAGGAGTATACAATAGAAGAAAGAGGTTGTTCGATTAGGCTTAGGGGACCTGTACCTCTGCCTAAGAGGGTCAGCGGTGGCGAGTAAGGAGTTGTGGGCGTTGCGTGGTTGAGGGTCCAGTAGCGAGTGGTCACTGGGGGTTACGCCACTCGAGGAACGGTGACCTGCACTGATGCTCGCAGACTTCGTGTGACCCCTTGTCGGCCTAGTGCCCTCGCCCAGGCTGTGCACAAAACTAATCAACAATCCGTCCCCAGACCCTATTTGTCTATATTAGAAGACTAGGCTACAGAGGGCACTATTTTTTTTTTTTTTTCTTATCATTTAAATCGTCACGTTCAAAATTTGGCGCATCCCTATTGGCTGCCTGCACTAGATTATTAACGTTAATTATTGTTATCCTGTATATCTGCACACAGTGCAGCATCTGATCTACAATTTATACAGCGTGAGTACAAGTTTACAAGCTATATATTACAATTTTATATGCTGGTCCTTTCGTCTCGTCATTATTGACTCGCTTATACATTTTTTAATTACAATTCCAAAAAGTTCTCTCGCGAACGTAACGATCTAGCACCTGCATACGCAATTAACAAAACAAAAGAGATATGACGCTGAATATGGCGCAATGAGGTATGTAATGATTGATGCTCGTGAAACTTTACTATACATAGATACTTGAGTAACCTCAACTACTTAACGTTCGTGCCTAAATAAAATCAGAGCGAGTCTGTTCTTTGCGTGAGTATATGCAAAAGTGATTCCATCTGATTTTAAAAAGCGTCTGTACATATAGATTTTAATTAATAACGTTACTAATCGCCGTAAATACGTCTTTCAAGCCGCGAATTTAATGTAGTCGGCAATGAACGAACGGCAGGCAGCAGCCAGAGCATGCTAGAGTAATGCAACAAATAAATAATTTCCCTACGCCTGGTGCGAGACGACGCTCTTCTGTGTTAATAAATCATTGCGATACGTACTCTCGGCAAAATTGGATTAATCTACTAATCGTATATCACGTATCTCTGCGTACTGATTGTTAGTGAGTTCGAAAGGCGTTAAAAGAGACATAACACAACTTTCATAGGCGTCAACACAATTGAGAGAAAGAAACAAAGTGACACACGAAAAGTATACACTGCTGTGTGTGTTATCTTTTTAACGCAAGAGAAAAAAAACAAAACAAACAGAGTTACCGGATTAACGTTAACCACTGATCACGTCGAGTCGCAATTAATTCTGCGGTCTCGATCGAGCAAAGCCCCTCCGTTAAATCCGTTAGCCCTGAGCACGGATGGCAGATCTACAAATAATACTGGACAAGGTACCATACGTCAACAGGGAACGTTACGCTGTGATACCTTGGCCAATACTTCGTACACGTGCGATCCATCAAAGATCGAGTAGTCGTTAATAGCCTTTATAGCCTTTATAGCGTAGACGCGCGGATGCGGTTCGTTATACCTGGGAACATCGTTCGTTCTTTCAGTCGACGAAGAAGACGTTTTAGCTTGGTCGTAGGAGATGGTGCTACGTCTGCCGACGGATCCAGGTGCGGGCGAATGAACTGACCGACCGCCGACTACCCCTGCGTTCATCGTGTTGCTCTTGCCGACTCTTGGTTTACCGCCAGGACTGGTTCCCACGCCTAGAATAAACATTGTCACTGCAAGCCTCATTAGATATGGTTCAACACAAAACAAAAGCAACGTAATATAAATTAGTACAAACTTTGAAGCTATGGGGAGGGAGTGGCAGGGAGTATACGAAATACGCAACAAAGAAATAAAACGACGTAGGACTGTATATGAAACTTGGCGATAACGTAATTCCAATTTCAAACCATGATTTTCAGATTACTGGATGCGAGGGTTTGTCATATTTTTGTTCATCCTTCTTGTTTCGTGTATTATAAAAATACACTCAACAGGTAGACAAGGACTGATCTATGAAATGTTCAGCATGATCTTGTGAAACAGGCTACTGCAACCTTAACCAAAGCAAAGTAAATGCGGGGAGGACTAATTTAGCTAAAGCTATACAAGGATTGACATAATAAATATAAAAATTAAAACCGACCACATTCCATATCGAGGTAACCCGCTCTCGTTAGAAAAACAAAGCAATGCGAAACGTGTTACAAGGTACAAAGATTGAAAAACCTTCCACTCCCAGGACAGCACACGTATTTGATTAAACTCTCAAGTGAATGTGATCGTTTAGCCACAATGGTGTAACATAGAGGTCGCTGATAGAAGATAATAAATATATAGTATAATACAATACTTGAACCCTCTGCTCGAGCCTATGGGAGAGAGAGAGAAAAACCACAAAGTGAACTCACTGGTATCAAGCTGTCCGGGACTATTTTTAGGTGCCGATGGTCGACTTGCAGAGACCCGGGCACTATTCTCTTTAATCGTGGCTGCGTCCACGGTATTCTGCCTTTTGAAATTACTACCGCCACTCCCGATCACCGTCGTACCGCCGGTCGTGGCAGTTGCGTGATTGTGGTTCGTCGTATTACCTGGACTTGGTGCTCCGCCTGGGAATCATAATACGGTCAATGCAAGCGGAAGACATATATATTTTATATTTTCTTTCTTTCTTTTTTTTCCCCCTTGGCTATCATCGAATTACTTGATCGGCGGCCGCGGACAATAATATATTAAAGTGCGGCGGACATCGCTGAACGGGATGGCAAACGTGTGGCTAGGTCTATATCACACGGGAGAATGCGGCGTACAGAGGAACTAACGGAAAACGCATACATGGACGTCAATCGTTTTTGACTTTAAAAATACAGACAAAAAATTGATTCTTCCATAGAATTGTGTTTCACGTAAGGTCGGACTGCACACAGCAATATTCATACCTTGATACGTGGGAGTGAAGCGTCCCTAATTATTTTTCCTTGAAAGAGCACAAACTTACGAGAGAGAAAGACATAGGCCACGTTCGTCATCGATCGACAGCCTTACGTACCCATGATAAAGTGCGGTTGAACGAGAATCGAAGAAAAATAAAAGGAAAGAACATTTCGCTGAAAAAGAGAAGAGAAAAAAAAAAAAGATATATAAATACTTTTTCACGTCGACTTACGAAGAGTTTCACCGCCCGACGAGGCCCTTCTACTTGGTTTTGGATTGCTGGCGGAAATGCTACGATGGACGCCTCTGTGCGATGGACTCTGGATGGCACCTCCTGTACCACCACCGCCGCCTCCCCCTCCGCCACCTGATCCAACCTGTGGCGGAATGTTACGCAATGATAGTGAACTACCTGACCGCGAACCATCACTCTCAGGCTGCAAGAAAGTATACGATACAATCGTGAGATGGCTCCCCGTTAGCGAAGCTTCGGCGTATAAGCTTTTGTAAGGGATTGTCAATGTAAATTTAAAAAAAAAAAAAAAAAAATTGTCACACACGTGTCTCAAGAGGGTCACGTTGAAGTAGCGAATATTAGATATAAAAGTCGATGAATACTTCATGCGAGTTAACGAGCGGCTCGCCGTTTAGGTAGGAACACGAAAAAAAAAAATTTGTCACCGTTTGTCAAATAAGAGATGAAACAAAAAAAGAACCTCTAACAAACCCACGTGTTTCTGTATACTCACATCCGTAGTTTTTCTGCCGAGTAAAAGATACGTGGCAAAGACGTCATCGTACTTCGCTTGTCCTAAAGAATCCTCGATTTCACTTCGCGTATAACCCATACTGGCTAGGGCTTCTGTAACAGATATTTCCCAGCACGCATAGTCACATCGAATTACATGAATGTCCATATCAATTAATATTAATCACGTGAACGTCCATTTTAAAGACCTACCAAACAATTTAGGCAGTCAACGACTTTGACTACAGAGAATTTTTAAATTGTCCATCTTGATTTTATCCTCTTTCATTGCAATTCGATAATTGATCCATAGACGGCATTTCAATTGAAAATTATTAAGTCACTGTGTATATATTCACAGTACGAGACTATACGTATGTATACAATATGCAATAATAACAATTTCGAAATATGTTTGGACGTCACAGAGCAAAACTTATGATTCTTTCTTCTCGATAATTCGTATCGTGCATTAACTAAGTCTTTTAACAAATATTTTTATTATATTACAACACACGTGTTTGCTGTCTTATTATTCTTCTACACAGTAATCTCGCATGCGCGGGATATATCAGAGGAAAATAAAGAAATTTAGAAAAACAAGCGATTGGTGCTTCTTGCAGTGCATTAAAATTGAGAAATCATTTAAACTCCACGTCGTAAGACTGTCTCTGATATATCCCATTTTCGTTCTACTCAATTTTAACACGTTACTCGTTGCGCGCGTGTCCTATTGTACAAACAAGAAGACACGCGACGAACGTCGACACCCTCGTTGTTAACAGCTACGACCGTTAAGGAGAATGTAATGGATAAGAAAAACTGTTATCCCATTAATACAGGTCCAACGAAGATTATCCGTACACAGTGTCTTGTTACGGGATCAATAGCAACGAGTGTATCTTCAAAGAGATGCATTATAGAACATAAAAACAGTAGGTAGTAAGTGTTATGTACATACTGGCAGACTCACCTATCCTCTTGTGATCCTTGTAATCTGGTTCTGGCTCTAAGTACGGTTTCAATTCGTCTTCCTCATATCCCATGTTCATCCACTTGTCCTTCATTATGTTCTAGATGGGAATTGAAAAAGATCACACTAGTTTACAAATGTCACAGCACGATCTGTCAGAGGGATCCAAAAGATCCCTGTCAATGATTTTCTCTTATAGGAAGCATGGGGCAAAATCAAGTTAAACGGGTAATAGACAGAAAGAAAGAAATTGGTGATTCAATAATTTTCTGATTCCCAATTAAATGTTCTCTACGTTCTTTGACAGAAATCTTATGTAGTATCTAATTGTAAAATATTTTAAAAAAAATTGGAACACGTTCCAACCTTATCGCCACGTACCTCTAACGAGGCCCGCTTCGTCGGGTTGAGCACCAGAAACTTTTTGAGAAGGTTCTCGCAGTCGGTAGACATGTAAAATGGGATTCGGTATTTCCCTCGCAACACCCTCTCCCTCAGCTCCCTTAGTGTCGAGCCGTCAAATGGCAGTGAGCCGGATACTAAGGTATATAGAATAACTCCAAGCGACCAGACATCCACTTCGGGTCCATCATACTTTTTGCCTAAAAGGAAGAAACAATTGGCATTAAAATAAAAGCAAGAAAATACTTCCACCTAGCCTGCAGCAGTAAAGAGAAGAAAAAAAAGAAGAAGAATCAAAGCCTTCTTTGCGATAAAGAAAATAGAATGACATGGAGATACCTTGAAAGAGTTCAGGCGCGGCATACGGAGGAGAGCCGCAAAAGGTATCCAATTTGTTACCCGGCGTGAATTCATTGCTGAATCCGAAGTCGGCTATCTTAATATTCATCTCGCTGTCGAGCAACAGATTCTCGGCTTTTAAATCCCTGTGGATGATTTTCTTCTGATGGCAGTACTGCACCGCGGAGACAATCTGCCTGAATTTTGCTCTGGCTTCCTTCTCCTTCATTCTTCCGTGCAGTACCAAGTAGTCGAACACTTCGCCCCCGCTGGCGTACTCCATCACGAGGTACAACGTCTTTTCAGTCTCGATCACTTGGAACAGCTTCACGATGTTTGGATGGTCGAGCATCTTCATTATCCTTACTTCGCGGAACAGCTGTAAGGGACACGGAGGATTTAATGAAATTTCATTGCGACAAATAGTAATTAATCGTAAAGCTATAGGCTTCGTCCTGAATAAACCAATATGCCTGTGGCTTGTGCTCTAATACCTTTTGCAAACTGCCGGGATTCAGCTGTGTCTTGTCGATGATCTTGATAGCCACTTCCTTGCCCGTTGGGACATGCTTGGCCAGCTTCACCTTGGCGAAGTTGCCTTTACCGATGGTCTTCAGTAATTTGTACTTGCCGATGTGTGGTTCCTCGGAGGTTCGGCTTCTCGACAACTGCCGACCCCCGCTACTGGATACCCCCACGCCATCCCCCGTCTATATAAAAGAGAGACAGAGAGAGAAAACTTAATCAGTAAATAAACATCGAATCAAATATACATTAAAAAGTACCTCTTTCAACGACTTCGATAAGTCGGATGTATAAAAGGACAAAAATATATTATACGCCATTATGAGACGCTATTATAAGAATTCAAAGTTCTATACAATATCGACGCTCACGGAAATTGCCCGTAAAGCAGCTTCGGGCTTGTTGCTTGGAATAAAAGACTTTTAAGGTCAGGGACGCTAATGATCTTCACGTAAAAACAGCAATTTCATAAAATCGTCCCGCCATTGTTTCCAACTCATCAATCGTGCTCGTATACAAGTCAAAAATAACTTTGAACCGCAATTTTATTTTTAAAAAAACCGACGCCTACCTTTGCAATAGGGAAACCATAAACGCGATACATATAGAGGGGCTTGATCAGTGAGATTAAATTCCACCCCTCTCAACATACAGTTCAGTCCCACCTCTTTTCAGGACTATACAAACGTATATATATAATCTCGCCTCTGTATCATCGATACGTATCAGCTAAAAGGTCTCGTTTTACCAAAAATAGAAAAATTCTAGATACGAGAAGAAAATTAAATTTTCCCATTATCTGGAATCTCTCGACAACAACAACAAAAAAATACATGACAAATTCTTGAGGACAATGTTCAATGTTACCCGCAAAAGGCCGCGCGTGACCATCTTGCAGGAGGTGGCCGCAGCAACCTTAGAAGCCGCCAGTTTGAAGTTTTACCCAAAAACTAAAAATATCAATAAATTAAGTTGACGACGTAACGCAAACGCACGTCGACTATCTCATCCATCCGTAAGGTCCAAGTCCGTCACTTAAACGCAGATTAAGGAGAACGCGTCCCCACGATCCATACGAGTACAGTCCCAATTCGATACGTGAACGTATATATATTTATTGATACACAATTGAAATCTAACGAAAGAAAAAAAAATAATCGTGGAATCCTTGTAATTAAAAAAAAAAGTCTTCCGCAACGAGTAAACTCTGCAGTCTCCAGATAATTTCCTCTATATCCTGGGTAGCCTGCCAGTAGGATTAAATCTGCTCGTATTAGAAGGTCACTGTTTCCCGCACACAGTGCACTTCATCCGAGCGTAAATCCCACCTACGGAAACTCTAGCCGAGTCCAGGGTGTCCGAACCCGTAATTCTCATGGCAGAAAACGATTATATTATTCGTCCGTGTTACTTTCGCAGGTGGAGTCCAGGATTGTTAAACCGACGAAATCTCTCACGAGAGACCCGAGCAGTCTCGTCGTCGCGCCTGGAGGAGCGAATTCTCTCCCCGTCGATTTCCATTGACCGCAATCGCCAGGATCGATTCGCGAACTTCGCCACGGAGAAACGGATTGAGGTTCCGAAGCAGTGTTCGTGAAGTATAGAATTAAAAAAAAAATTGATAAAATCCTACTTAACCACCCTTATCAAAAAATTCCACTCCGACACACCGAACACAAACAACACCAATCCGATTCACGGTTCTACGTCACTTCCCGACGACAGTCTCGTCCCTAAGGACGCGATTGACTCAAAGTGCCAACCAGGAGCTACGACCAGAGATCAATTCCCCAAGAGGCATTCCTCCAGTCCAATCTCTATGAGTCCCCCACGAGCGTTCCTTACGAACGCGTAAACTTCAACGAGCCCTCGAAGACGTCCCAGGGTGCGTCCTCTTCCTCCTCTTCCGTCAGTCAGGACACCCAGCGCGCACCGCGTCCCGTTCTGATTCCCATCGGCTCGAGATGCTCGTTACTTCGGGCCATCAAGGTAGAGAGAACGGAGTCGGTGTTTACTCGAGATGGGAAGCGTCTCGACGCCGACGCCAGCGTCGGTCCGTGTACTGAGCATCCGTAGATGATCGGCGTCCCTGAGGCTAGCCGGACAAATCCGTACGCGAGTAAGTCGCGGGTTACGATTTTTTCAAGAGGCTCCCGATGAGTCCCTTCGTCGACCCGGAGACCCGGGGATACGTCCAACCGGAAGTTCCACGTTCGCGGATCAGGAGGACGGACATAGCTGTATCCCCCGGTACTTGACGACGATCGCCAGGAGCCTCGATGCTCTCGCGGATGATGAACGACGACGTTGGCGATCCCGATGCGACTGTCTCGCACCGAGGGAGCCAAGGGATGAAAGGAGAATCAATACGTGCCCGCCACCCCCGTCGGCGTGGCAAACTGCGCAAACTACCCTCGGCCTGGTCCTCCCCGCGACATTCCTCCTCATGTTCAACCCCCTCGGCGACACGCTTGCGCCCTTCGACGCCAGTGCCCCCAACGGCCACGGCCATTTAACCCACCTAACCCCCAACGTCGTCGACTACGAATTCGGCTAACTTTCTCGTCTGGTCAGCTGATCGTGCGTGCTACCCTTATTATAGACTCGAGGGTACTTTCCACGCGTTTCATTTATATTTCGGGAACACCGACTACAGTCTATCGCCTGGCTACTTGATATTCATTACGCTCGCGTCGGATTGCGAATCGGATAACAAAGGTTCTTCGTCCTAATACGCTGTTATGGTGATTGTCAAATTTAATTATTTTTTATCTGCGAGTGAAAATATTAAACGGAACTTGTACAGTACTGGTCAAAAGTATCCGTGCAAGACGTTTAGCCTATGGCCCGATAACTTTTGATCAGGACTGTACAGAATAAGAATTCAAAGCACTGTCCAGTTAACGCACGAATGCACCATAGAGATCACTGAAACGGTAGGGAAGACGCGATTTCTCTTTAGGATGGTTCGCGGGATGCGATCCTTGAAAAAGAAAGGAGTCTCTCTAGCGTGGCGAGTCTTATGTAGTTTTACTGTAGCAGCGCTGGGTGTACGGACCAGCAGGCGGGACGCGGACGGCTGACGTCTTTCTTTCGTGGATCGACTGGAGGCCCTCGAATCTATTGAAGAGCCGCGGATGAGCACTCGTAGGCCAACGTGCGAGCGTCAATTTACATGAAAGTTCTTCGAATACGAAACAGCCTCTACCTGGCCGGTGGAGCTAAGGTGTAATATTAAGGCGAGCGATCGCTGTCGCGCGGACGTCGCTCGTAGCTGGTGACTCGTTTCCATTACTGGAAAGATGAACAAGGACATAAACGATATCAAGGCCGATAATAGAGGCTGATATCGATAGATAAGACGTATCCAGCTACGTATACATGTGTAACTGATTTCGCGAATCTAAATCGATACCAATCGATATCGTATCGATTTTCGTGACCCGAGAAAAGTTTGACAAGGGGAATAACCGTTGGGCTACGAAAAAACAGTAGCATAAAAATCGCCTGTTGACAGCGTTATTAATTGATCGATTGTGATGCGAAAAAAAAAATTGTCTCAATGTAAATTGAACAAGACCAGATTCTAAGGCCAATGCATTTCTACAGGAAAATTCGCAATTTTGGACATGACAATGTTTGTGTACAGTTAGACCCATGTCGTTTGGGTTCTATTTACTCGGACTGCGTGTACAGTCTGTATTACGAATTGTGTCTCGTCAACTGTATCGGTTGGAAATAATCAAACATGGCCGCCGCGCAAAAATTCACTGTCAAAATAATATATATATATATATATAGGTCAATAAGATTCAAAAACGATCGCGATTTATGTTTTTGCCAAATATTTACTTTCATTGACCAGGTTAATAGGTACCTCCTTGTTACCGATATTCTGTATAGCCTTCTGTATCACACTGGACAATGGCTTCGCGCTGAGGTTGCCTTCCTGTTGCTGCTGCCTCTTAGTGATCATCGGCCTCCCGAGGTTACGTGCCTGCTGGGCCCGAGACTGTACCTTCAGCGGCATTTCCATGTCCTGAGTGCGTCTCGTGTCCGAGGCTGTTCTGGACAACTTGACGGCGGGTCTCTTCGCCGTGATACCGGCATTTCCGGTTGAGTTCCTGGTCGCTTCTCCGCGTTGCAACGGCGAAGCCCTTTTTTGTGTTCGGCACGAATTTTTTTTCAAGATACAACCAAACAATGTCAACCCAATGAATACTTTGCGTCAAAAATAAATTATACTGTGTGTTTGTGTAAATTTTGTGTATTGTGTTTGAAGGAAGAAAAAAAAAGTTTTGGGCTAAAAAATCTTTTCATTCAATTACTCCCATATATCGACTGCAAAAATCGTAACCAGTTCTCTTTACTGACTTTACGCATTTAAACGACACCACAGTCGATTCCCGTTTATCGACACACGTGTTCGGATTTTATGTACAGTTATGGCAACTGCGAGTTGGCTGACCGTTTGGTACGTTACTACCATTGTAACATTGACTATGGGTATACATATGGTGTCCACACATATATATTCAGTACTTTAGATTCGACGACAAACGATAGCGGAAACCGAGTAAGAATAACAAGCGTCAATATTATCCAGTGAAGTAATTATGACGCTGAACGAGATGGGCGTCGCGACGCGTCACACTTTCGATTCCCTTGGATCGTCGCGAGCAGAGTAACACGTTGCCGTGTTACGCAAGCAAGGATATTTTCAGACATTGACATTGTAGCTCGAAGTGATAAAACCCACAAAAAACAATTACTGGCAAATAATGATTTTGACATTGGATTAAGAAAAAAAAATATATATATATATATGTATATTTCCGGTATACCTCTATAGGTACCCAAGTGAGGTGTAGTGTGTCTATAGAGTGTGCTATGTATCGTGAAGAGGGAGTTAAAAAACCAATTACCCCTCAGCCTCATCGTCCGTAACGTTCTTCAGCAAATCCTCGTGCTCTCTGTACCGTAGTTCGATTTCCGGTTCGACCTGGGTGCTGTCCTGGAGGCGTGACCTGGCAGCGATGGTACCAAGCTCAATAGCTTTGACCTGACGCTCCAATTGGTCAAGCATGTCAGTGCTTTTCTGAGATCCTTTGGTCTGCTTGAGGATGAGATCAAGTTTAACGGGTTTTCCAGGATCGACCGGAAGACGATTATCCGTATCAGTAATGGGCAAGGACGTGGGTCCAGAAGTCAGGCAAGATATGATATTGGACTTCTCGAAGGCTCGAAATTTCTTTAGTCCCTTTTCGAAGTCCTGAATATTCTGACTGACGATGGAGTTCTTGGTCCTCTCGTTGATGAACAAGGGTCTGGGATACTTTTTACGTGTGGTAGCAGGACTCCCGGTCGAACCGGAACTACTGGCATTGGAGATCCTCCTCTCGACCACCTGAAGACCAGCGTCTCCCTCGATCAGCTCCCACTGTTTCAATGCCTCCGATGTTCGCGGTGACGTAGGCGATGCCGTCGACGACGACGTCCTCGACGCACTTCCGTTGGACGTCTCGTCCGTTTGCCTACGTAGCCCAGCTACCTCGTTGTTGAAGGTCCGACGGAAGCTGGAGGGCCGAATGGACTTTCTGCCCGGTTGATTTCGCGCGAGCACCGTCTCACGCTCTTCCCGATCGACCATGACTGGAGGATCGAATTAAACCGGCCGGAAACAGACGAAACGGCTGCTGGCCACTTTGATAACGGCACTTCAGCCAAGGCTGAGAGCGCACGGCGTTACCCTTCTCTTCGTCAACGTTGAGGAAACGATTTAAAAAAAAAAAAAAAAAAAAAAAATCAAATCGAAAAAGCAATTTTTCCACTCGAAATACTTTAACCGAACTTTCTCACTGTGTTTATTATTCTCGTGAAAGAAAAAAAAAAAAAGTCCTTTTACTTCAACTTCACTCTGGCGTCGCGACGTCCACTCGTGTCGCGAGTCTCAGGGCGACAAGTATCCACACCTTCGGGTCTATTCACTGGCCTGATGAAGAATAGAAGCAATGCTCGTGGTAGCGGCCAGTCGTCAAGGTCAATCGGCTCTGTCAGAAAGAAGATTCGCGCACGTTATGAATCGAGCTTTATGGCGTGGAGCGTTCACAATACTTGAATGTAAGGCATCCGACGGCTATTCGTAAGCAGCACAAGAAGACTCCTATAGGCAGTTCGCGTTACGCTATCCCATCTCCAGCAAGGCCTTTTGTCATTCCGACGGCACCGAGGACGCTTCGTACCGATCGCTCGTGATCGATCGGATCCTTCTCTAGATCGTGTGAAGCAAGCTGTAGGTGGATCAATCGAGTCCGTAGAAACTCCGAAGGGATCGATGAGAGACGGTTAAGAATCTACAGCACGTATCGCGGACGATCAGGAATTTCTTTCCAGTATTGTTATTTTTATATAATCACGCGAAGAGATGCAATAAATTGAATCGTTTAGAAAAAAAAAGGGGGAAAAAAAAAGAGTTATTAACTCTTTCAACGGAATGTCCTCGTTATCGAGCTTCGACTTCCGTTTAAACTCGATAATGAGAATCTACTCGAGGTTATCCGTAATAATTTTTATCCGATTTCTATACTGCTCTTAATCACACTGGCTCTAATGAATCGTAAGAGAATTTAATTGACACGAATTTTTTTTTTTTTTTTTTCCATCAATTTAAGCTTGCTTTCCACGAAATAGATGAAAATCTCAAACCCAGCGCGAATCGTACAGTTGACTTATTTTTTTTTGTTATCCATAAAAAGCGCATGATATACACCAATTGTATTACGGCATACGTATAGATATACATATTACTGTGACACAGACGATACAAAGGACAATGGCCGTCTCGAGAGACGAAAAAAAAAAATAAATACAAAAAAAAAGAGCACATAAGCTTCGCGTTTATATTGACACACAGGTAAATTTTCTTTTTTCTTTTTTTTTCTCTTGTACTTTTTGATGCAACGATGAACACGACGTCGACCTGACTTTATCGAAAAGCAGAGAGAAAGCTGCCAGCACACGGGATAAGGCCATGTAGTCGATGCCAATGAAAGAACTGGGCCCGTACGCCGATAAGCTTGGCTAGCCAACCCGGCATTGTTATCAGCAATAGATTCCGATAAGCGATAGCCTACCTAACCGCTCGGCCTACGCTTGGGAATCTCCAGCGAGCGACAGCTTAATAAAATATATACAAGAGGCACAGCGACAGCGGACAATAAAAAAATTATTTTCTCTAAAATTGGTAACCCTGTCACGATGTATCAACCCAAAGATTCCACGCGTAATTGCTGCTTATTTAATTTTCTCCGAACGCCATCGAATGGCTACCGAGTGACGACTATCGATAACAAAAGCTTGTGGTCAGTCTCCATAGCGCGATTGTTAACTGACACAGCCGAGTATACAGGTGGATGACGTGAAAATCGCGACAAGATCAACGACGTAGGATTGAAAATAATAAAGGAAAAAAAAAAATCTTAGCCCTAGCTTATCGCAATGAGAACGGCTGTCGCTCTCTGAAAACGACGCTGTCTCTTATCGCGCGAATATACTCACGCGTTACACACCCCAAGGACTTAACTTCGTGTCTCTTTGACATATCGCGATGCACTCGTCAGCCTTGTAAACGCCTGTCGACTCAGTCCTTATAAACGAAGTAAATCTACCGGCGAGCGCCAAGTCAACGAGACACGATCGCGCGAGCGTAAACGTTGGAAACGCGCCACTTTTTTTTATTATTTATCCGTCTTGTAGCGAGTGATCGAGCGTGGATATCGTAGAAGAAATCGGAGCAGTTCAGCGGTCGAGAAAGTGGCCAATGATCGTCCAGGCGGGTCAGACCGAATGATCCGTCGAGGATTTCCGCGAGCTGGTCAGGCGGGCAGGTGAGGAGGCAGGAGAGACGCGTGGATGAACGGAATGGTATGGGAGGTGAGAAGTCTAGCGACTTACTGGGTCCATGAAACCTGGCCCTGAAGTACAGGCGGGGGTTACAGGGACTTTGGTGCAAGGAGTAATGGACTCGGGTTTACACAGTGGCATAACCGTACAGCCGTATGGACTGTATAGTATAAATATAGATAGTAGGATAGGTAGTAGGTACAGACAAGTCGAACAACAAGAGACAACCAGACAGAGGTAGGCCAGGTAGGCAGGTTGCGGTGACTCGGTTCGCTGAAGTTGCGAGAACGCGATTTCCGACGCGTGAACACGCCTTTTTTTCGGAAGGATTCTGCCGTATCGGCTGTGCCACGTGTTGTATGTATATATACTCGTATATGTATCACGTCATCCTGCTACTCCACCCGATTCACTGATGTCCACACTGCACTATATATCCGTATGTATATATATATATATATATGCGTAACGAACGGGAGAACTTGACTCAACTGAAAACACGGACTTGACTCACTACGCTTCGCCATCCGTCTCGAGTCGCAGCCGCTACTAAAGACTGAGCCGGCAACGTGGATGAATCGAAGCAAAGCAGCGGCCAGCAGAAGTCACGAAAGCCGAGAGTGGATCGGCTTAAATCCGGTAAAAATGTACTGCGAGTCCTAAGCGTTAAGAAGCCAAGTAGGTGGAAGACGGCGAGAGACACGGCCGTACGGGCCCGTCTCTCTGACAATGAGTCACGATTCACGAAAGCGCCACGGGCCCCGTTACATTGACTGCCTTCTTCCTATCAAGGCTCAAAGTGCGACCGCTGATACGGCCGTTGTGTTCTGATTGCGCGCACTCCCGTACGTCGGATCTATGGATCCCTGCGATTCCGGCTTACCGTGTTAATACGTGGAAGCGGATTGAATACTTTTCGTGGCTTCCTTTTAAGTTTCATGCAAACCATCGAATCTTACGACACTTAACCTTCGGCACTGGCGATGCCTACCTCGAGACAGACAGATTAGAACACTTTATCGCTGTACAGTGCGATCACACCTAACACGAATTTTCGTCTTTCCTGCGCGTCTCATTATTATTATTCTCGTCCATTTAATCACATCGACGAACATCCCTTAGCCCTGAAAAGGGTATATTGTTAACGCAAACACTTTATTCCCGTGTAAACACTCGTTAAAGTCGCGGTCGAATAAACGTGTCAGTTAAGCGAAGCTACGTTGCACAGAACCCGCGTTCCAGTCAACGTGCCACTACGAGGAATCGTGCGCAAGCACGAACTCGTCTAATCTAATCTAATCGGCTAAGGACTTTTCTCGGCAAACGAGAGACAAACCATCGACGACCGAGCGCACTAATCCCTTCCCCTCCGTGTACCCGGCTTAACGAAGGCCCAACCGACGGGTACGACACGACCACCGGCCGACGTAGCCACAACAATACGCTCCTCCGTCAGTCCCTTCGTGAACTTAGCCGACTGACTGTGGATCTACTGCTACGGCCAACCGCGGCAACGTTCACTGCGTGCCACGCGCTTAGAAAGTGTCTAACCTCTCGGCTGAGTCGTATCTCGAAAACTTGCTAGTGCGCCCACGCTTCGTTCGGGTAAAAATGAAAGTTTAAACGCTCGAGCGAGATAGGTATACGGAGATATATAATCTCGTACCTCGGCCTCTGTCAGCCGATCGGTCTCATTCGTAATTAGTCGCTCAAGGTCCTGCAGCGGACCGGTGAGAACGCAGCGACTACCCGAGACGCCGTCCAACCGTCGACTAACCCGACTTAGACGATTACTGCTGCGCGCCGTCTAGTCAACGAGCCCGTGTCTCTTCCCAGGACATTAAGAGACAGAAAAAGGGAACGGAAGGCTGTGAGAAGCGCGGAGCCGGCAATTCATCGCGAGAGAATAAAGTCTAGTTCATAGGACTGTAATGGTGCTTCGGGTTATACGCATATACAGCAGAGGTCAAACGTTCAGATATATGAGAGCCCACGGCGTCTTACGTGGTTTACAAAAGTTAATAAAGAAATTATAAGTGCAAAGAATGTATGCATACACGTGCGTAATAATTACTGCAATAAGCTACGTGGCTCGTTGAGCAATCCCAAAAATGGAATAGCGAATGACGAATCGCTAAACGGAACCAGAAACATATGAGGGAATCTGATCTCCCCTCTCCGCCGAAGGACACCGATACATCATTAACTATTACGACGTCAGCGTCGCGTCGCCGTGTCACGTCTGTCTCTACTTGCACCTTGCACGTAGTTACATTAGCTCTTTCGTTCTATACGAGAACACGGCCCTTGATATTTCAATGTCGCGTGTATAACGTACCAATAAACACTGTTAGGAGTTAGAGAGAGATCGAGATAGACTCCTATTCACGTATATCGTAATAGCCCGTCGACGCGTGGGCGTCGGAACGACGAGAACGCCACTATGGTTTACCAAGTGAATATCGCCAGGTAAAAGTGTCCCTCTTTCCGCACTACAAATCTGTGAAATCGTCACAGCGTAAATCCTCTGACGAAACGGCCGTGATTTGCCATTGTCTGGGAAGCCGTTAACCGGCGATTAGAGTCACGGACATTTCGCGCCGGCCATACAGTACGTTATAAAATCCGCAGATCGAGAGCTTGTGATCGCGTTTCACTTGGACGGACAGCCAGTGGATACGTTCACGGAGGTTATGCCACTGAAGGACTAGTGCGAAGTCGGCTATTAACTTAGCCAGGAATATTGTATATGTATACACGTGTGTATAGCGTGTATCGAGAAGCCAGTGCCTTTAATAGGTTGCCGCGCCGGAGTCCGTAACGCAACGGGCAACAGGTTCTTTGTAAATTATATTTCTAAACATGCCGAGTAACGCGACCGGGGGGTGCGCATGCGCGCACCGCTCTCCTCATTCCGGTGTGTACCGTCGTCGTCAGGAGGCGCGTCCTCGTCCTTGCGTTATACGATATAAAATATAAATATATAAAGGCGAGGAAAATTTTTAGGAGGCCGGCTTACCCAGGTATTTTCTTTCGTTTCCGTGTGTACGGCTTCCCACGCTATGGTCATCCATGCCGTGTTTCCGTGACAACACCGAGGGTACGTAAAAGAAGATGGCCGATGCAGTGAATATAGCGATAGACCCTTTACTTGGCTCTTTATATCGGGTGGCTACTGGCTTCCCCGTGTACGCAACTCCTATTGTAAAGGATCGTTCGCTCGGCTCACGGCGGGCTTCCTGACCGTAACGGTGAATCACCGGCAGCTTCGTTTTCGACGACAGTCGAGCGTAGCGCGAAGCCACTTCAATTCTGGCCATAATCCAGTGAAATCGTTGGGGTGAAAGACCGTAGCCTCTGGTTTCCCATTTTTTTTTTCTCGGAATCGCCGAGCCATTGCCGCGTATGATTTTCACTGCGGATCCAGCGGGTTGCGAATAAATATGGCGAAATTTATTAATTTCACAATTATATCTTCACAGAAATTGAACAATGGTAGAATCTCTGTTGGCACTGTGTACTAGACAGAAATACGTACTATGTTCTCTACCAAGGAGCACAGAGAGATCTGTATGCCGGTTAGTGACTGCCGCTTCCGCCGACAGGTGGCAGTAGCGCCACTGTGACCGGCATTGACTGCACGATAGAAAAAGCTGTTAAGGTTCGCGAGTACCGACTGATAATTTTAACGGTAATGCCTACATCGGACGAAGCTTGCACAAAAATTATGCTCTTGTCAATTTAATTTTTCATGGTAGCCTGGGCTTTTAAAAATCGTTGACTGATTATGCCAAAAAAAAAAAGAAATAATTCTACAACTTTTTAAATTTAATTAACGCAATCGACATTCACAAATTCTAATCGAGAGCCTCTGAGCTCATCGCTCAAATCAGCATCGAATCGCTATTTATACATCATTCACTTAACAATATTACGTATCGTAAAGCAGCAAGCTGATAAGACAGCGGGTATAATAAGAATACAATCGAAGGTTAACGAAGCCTCATAGAAACGTCGCAAAGAAGCCTGTTACATTGTCTATCCAGATGTTAGACGGACTCCAGAATCGACCGCGAAAATTTCAAGGTACTCGATTCCTATAAGTCGACTAAGCAAGATATTACGACGTAGCTCAGTTCATACATAAAGACCAAGACTCAGAATTTCATAACCAAAGTTCCTCCCTGACAGTCGCATCAGACCGTCGGTAAATATCGATATCAAAGATGCAAATTCAACGGCAGCTAAGTAACAGTTCGCCATCTTGAAAGAGGACACATGCAAATTCCTCTAGAGAGAGAAAAGGCGAGAGAGACGTCCGTGCAGAATGCACCTATGCAGCATTCCGTGCACATTCAGCCTCCGCAGCTTCGGCCTTTGTTCAGTCCGGAGGCAGAAGCGACGAATGGCGATTGACATGGCAAAACGATCGCTCGGGCGACCGAGTGCGCAGCTGTCGCGAATTGAGGATGAATACAAACAGCGAATTAATTGAGAGTATGAACGTGGTAAAATTTCGAATTTTGTTCGCCGAAAAATATTTAAAAAAATTTTTTTAAATTTTATTTCCAACCATTCAGCAAGCTAGTTCGAAGGTCGTCAAAGGCCTTTCGCGAATCGCGTGGAAGACCCAAAGCAGGCCTGACGATCGTTGCTCGTACGCGCACTGGGTATAGTCAAAAGCGAGTATAAACCCTGTTTGCGCAAAAAGGCTCCCGTTAGATTTATTGCTTGTAAATATGACTTAACGATGTTGCGCGTCACACGACTTCGCATGGGCGGTTTTACTATGTTTGCGGAAACCATGCTCCGAATCTAGGCATATACATACCCTGATACGTTTTATTATGAACTGAGTGGTTTTGCAAAAAAACACAAAATTTTGCAATTTCACCCAAAAGACGTGACCCCGTGAGCAGCTTCATTATCAAGCGCGGTTAATAAACAATACCAAGAGGCACGACTGATCGAGGAAAAAAATAATTTGATATTCGATAAAGTTTTCAAGCATCTCTCAATTGTATCGCCTACCTTCTTATCCTTATCTTTCATTCATTCCCATGTATATCGTAACCATATGCAAAAAATTCGTCAATTGATCTCACTCGCTAAAGCATAACTGATCCAGGCCAAACAATGGCGCCTAGCAAATATTTTTCACGAGTCGCGACAATCCTCGTCGATAGTGAAGAAAAGAAAAGAAATAAAAAAAAAAGAGAGTACCAAACTTCGGCATCTGCCTGAATGTTTGTCAAGCCTTTGAAAACAGACTTTTTGTAAAAAAAAAAAACGAACGCGCGATAACGCGACTGTATACGCGATTACGATAATTTCGAGTTCGAACAACGTTACAGCCGTATCCAACAAAACTTGAGTAAACGCTAGGCTACATTGTCGCGCAAACAAAAAACAAGACAAAAATCCCCAAAAAAAAAAATATCGATAACCAATCTCACACTCGATAAAGAAATCATACCGCCTGAGTGGACCCTTGTGACGTCACGAAAAAAAAGGTGAAATCGCAAACTCGCGAAAAAAAAACAACAAGAATAATTAAAAACAAAAATGTTGCAATTTAACGAAATAATTTCTTCGACTTTCAAAATAAGCTCTTTCGTCACTATTACGTATGTCGCAAATTAAAAATCGCCATTAATCGCAATCACCCGTCATCTACCAATCGTCGGTGTCAATGACCCGTGAACTTGACGCCCTCCCTCGTGCTGGCCCGTCGTACGTAGTTTTCATTGATAAAAAAAAACACCTATATATCACATAAACGACCGATTGAAATTTTCAACACGAATCGGGGGCATCCGTCAATCCTCGGACTCTCGAAATAGTTTTCATCGAAGGCGCTTCATTGATATTCCACGGTTACGACGTTGGGCTTCCTGGGGCTCTTTACTACTTCACAGCGTCCAATAATAGAAGTCGAACGAAGTGGAAACTATTTGGGGACGTAAACGAGTAACCACAAGTGGGACCGATGCCACTCTGTTTGAAAGGCCTATATTTCAATTATAAGATAAGCCAGGAAAGTTAGGCCCCCGCTCGCCGTCCGACGGTTCGCTAAGATATTTGACTTGGCGTCAGCCGTACTATAGCCAAGTACGGTAAACACTGCCTTACAGAGAGGAACTTCGGCTAGCAAAGAGGTTACGGTTGCCGGACGAGTATGGATTCCGTCAATACCTCCGAACTGCCTTTCGAGCTTATCGTCGAAGGTACGATTACCGTAAATTGAATGGTACAGTTTGACCCGCCAACAAAATTAGTACCGGATTGATCCACCAGCGACTTTGCCGCTGAATAACAACACAGTGGCGCGACGATTCGAGTCACTGTCGGACATGTGTTTTCTCACGAGCGTCACAGCTGACCCAAGATGGCCGACTGCGCGCAGCAGACCCCCCTGACGTTGGCCACGGAAGTGAATCATTTAAATCGTATTTGACAAAGCACTAACCGAAGGGAACGATGAAAT